ATGTGGAATTCCTACAGATGATTATCAATAATACGTAATTTCAGTGGCTGTGTTAAACAGCACATTCGGGGTAGAATAAATTGTGTTTCTGTACAACGTATGTCGCGTTAGGTACTTAAATAGTTGTGTAATCTCTATTTAAATAAACAAGAATAACAGAGTTATTTTTTTTAAGTGCCATCACTTTGCTTTGGTTTTTATCTCAATATTTTCCTGTAAGCTGAGCACAAAATGCCCCTACAATATTTTTCAAGTTCGGACTTCGTGCTGAGCTTAGGAATGTCAGTCGTCGTCTTGTTAAGTTCTTTTTCACTGTCCAAGCGTCTACCACCTGCTGTAACACAGTCCCATTCAAGTAAATGACATATGTTAATGTGTTAACGCTTCAGAAACCAAACTATTTGTATTTTGAAACACAAAGGAGCTGTTAAAATTTCTCATTATTAATTTAATTGTTTTCGTTCTAAATGCATTTCATTGATAGTCTACTACAAAATTTGTGGGTCACATAACGATCAGGTGTTCCATTCATCTCTTAGCAATACGTAATTGAAGATGGCTGCACTCATCGCCGTGAAAAACTCAAATCGTACTTAAAAAACAATTATTTTTAGTCTCATATAAAATGAATGAAAAACAATTTATGAACCTATTATAGTATGTATACAGACATACTCGTATATTTATATTATATGACACAGATAGCAAGATCTGCACTTTCCATCTACTGCTTTCGCTTTTTTTGGTTGGTGGACAAATCTGAGAGTTGTCAAATCAAATTAGTTTCACGTCACTGCAATTCTAATATATTAATAGGATCAGAGAGTGGACCTGGAATCGAAATGCGCACCGCCTGGTCCGTTTAGGTGGTCTATCCTACATTTTGCTAATGTTCAACAACGTGTTAAAGGCATACACAGCTTCAGCAGTAATGTTCCAGTGGCTACAGCTGAGAGTCTCGCACAGACCCGTACAGACTTCCTTGGAAATTTCGTTCTGGAGAACCGTTTGAAGACCATTTGGCATTTTAAGACTCTCAATTACAATTTAATGGAGGGAAGGATGGATTAAATTTATTTTCTGTCTTTCTCTTGCTCTCTTTCTTAGTTTATCTCTCTCTTTCTCTCTTAACAACTCTTTCTTACTTCCTTTGTTCCAATTGTTTTCTTCCCCTCTTTCCTTCTTGCACTGTTTTCTTACCTTTGTTTCTTTCTTGCATTCCCGTGATAATATATTATATCAGCGTCATTCACATCTACAAGAAAGCCCTTTCCTCTAAATTGTGGCTGTTCATCGACTTAGTTTCAAATCGTAACTGATGGTCATGTCACGTTGAAACCTTACGTTCCACAGACACTGCTTTACAAATCGCTGCTCTAAATCGTGTAAAAATTAGAGAAAACGTACACAACGCGAATGCATTTCATAATTACATCCATAATTACCGCGCAGGAAACACTGCCACCGCATTCAAGCAAAATCACATACCGACATCTTTGGACACTACAAAGCGTTTAAATGTTTTATACGGTATTGATTTTGAAACGCTTTCCATGACATGTTAGGCTTTCGGTGGCGGTATGTAATTACAGACATGGATTTTAGTCAGTCTGCTAGTCTTGCCTCGCTGATCTTGTAGATGTGCAATCGAGTACATCGAGCTGCCACGAGAAATTACCACCCTGAGACTGATCCCGACTTTCCGGCTAGAAGAGTAGTACAGTCCCATTTTTCACACGTGGCTGATGTCAGCTAAATGCGCAGTTAATTTAATCGGAGTTCACTAACAGAATATCAAAGGACGTGAAGGTTAATCAAGGGACGACCACAAATGGGCCAAGTTGTTGTTTTTGCAGTGAGTCACCCTTTTCATTATCAAGGTTTTATTCAGGTCAACATGGCACACATACAGCCCTCCTCTCAGTCACACCAAGTAAATGTTTTTACAATTTATTAAAATAGGACACCATCTCGTCTTTATCCCCCCCCCCGATTTATAATCATCCTGTCATTCGACACTATATGACGTACAAAGTTAACGAGTTGTTCAACTACTTGTCAGACCTGCGACACAATGAGGTCATGCTTATTAATCCTGGTACAGAGATCGGCTGGACATAGACCGTTTACCCGTTAACCGTTACAGCCTGTAGTTTTAAAATCACGTTCTGGTCCAATTTTGAGCTGAGGGCTACTGTGAGTCTGTAAATAATGAATGTCTCAAAATGGATTACGACTAATTTCTGAAAGTACAAATATAAAAATAAAGAAATAAGAAAAGACAAAACGAGCAAAATGATGAGAAACAACAAATTAATCATGATTAATAATAATAATGTCAAGAAGGTTATAATAATTTAATTCAATTAATTTATTAAAGTGTTTGCCAACAGCGAGAAGCCGATGACATGCAGACACTGATAATACATATTAGTAATAATAAAGGTAACAATCATAAATTGTAGGTATTATGTATAAGGTAATTGAATTACAAACAATTCGGAAGATGAAATAAAAGAGGAGAGTAAAAGAATGAGAAGGAGAATAATACCCCAGACAGAAGAAACTAAGTAAGGTCAGCCAGTAATTTATATTCAGTTCACTAGCATAATCATTTACAAACACAAGGCCGCCTAAAATATGCAAAGCTGTGGTCGTCTTTCAGAGAACAAGAAAACACAGTTCTCCGCATACAAGACTGAAAGTGCCCTCTTATTAACCTTTGGCCGAATATGAAGACGGAAACGGGTTGGACTTACAAAGAAGAAAAATATAGCCCAATACTTGTCAGGAATAACTTCTCTTGGGAAACTGGAAAGATTCGTGCCCGTGGGAATTATTTAAAATAGTCGGAACATTGCAATATGGCGGAATGCGTGCAATCCATTATCGTGTCTGATCTTGCACGCACATGTACTTTGCTGGGATGTTCAGAGTTTACCTACCAGACAGAAGCCCATATTGTCTGTATTCGGCCATAGGAAAGAACACACTTCTGTTTTTCTGTTAATAATGATCTTAAGTTGAAAGAATAATCATTATTCTATATTATTTTCCCTTGCCGACGATACAAATTGCGAATGTCAAGTTTCGCGGCAACAGGGTCGCGATCTTCGACATCTAACGAATTATTAGTTAATCGTAAGGCATCTTAAGCAGCTACCAAAACCACTGTGCTTCTTGTGAAGCTAATAACAGCTCTGCTAGTTATGAAATTCGCCGCGTTTACATGGACACAGCAATGTATAACCTACGAAAAGTGTTCACATAACTGATAAAAAGTAAAGTTTGTCCCACTATACGCCATGTAGGCGTTTGGGGGAGGTATAGCTCCTCTCTTCCTTGACCTCGGCACTAGATGGGGGTGAGTGGTCAGCATCACGCCCCGGCCGGCTTTACCCCCGGGAAAGGACCCCGGTACCCATTGTAGAGGAGGCTGGGTGGGCCCCAGAGCCGGTCTGGACGCAGAGGCTAGAGGAAAAATCCTCTGCCCCCGTCGGGGATCGAACCCCGGTCGTCCAGCCCCGGCTCATATTGGTATTAGTGTAATCACGAATAACAGATAAGCAAAGCATGCAGCACGCACGGGGGAGATGAGAAATTCGTACAGAAACTGAAACAGAGATTGTGTGTTGTTCCTAGGCTTATGTGGGAATAGGCTGATATTAACTTATCTTGAAGAAACACGGTAATGATTCCTTGAGTTGCATAAAAGATAATGGCTTTTCTAAATTAGCTGAGCGACTATTAGTCTAACAAGAGAAAAAGCCTGACAGAATTGTCAAGAAGCTGTTTGCGCAACCGACTGATATTTGCAGAAATGAATCTCGAATCCGTGTCAACTTGGCATTTGTCGCTTTCTGTAAAGAAAGTCAAAGTAATTGCTTGAATTTGTCGTGCACGCTTCACTGTGACGACACGTCACGACTAACCTTGTCTGTGCCTTGTCACAGGTTGACGTGGCGGCAAAGCCCTAGGCTTTTGTTCCGGAGATACGCGAGATTCGAATTAGCGCTGGACCGCCGACTGTCCTGACTGACGCTTCTCGTGATGTTTGTCAGTCTTACCACACCACTTCAGAAACAATACCCTGAAATAGGCCTGACATAAACTTCCACATCTCCACTTATTGATATTCATTATCATTTTTCCCATCTCGTCAATTATTAATGAGCTAGGCTAATATTTTCTTGTTCTCACAGTGACTTTTTCTTTTGATATTCATTATTGAATGAGATGCGAAGATGGAAAGGATGGTGAGTAGCTAAGGATTTGAAAGGGGGCGTTCATAACGCATTTTAAGTTCGGCATACTACCTCGGAATTATCCTCGAAAGACTGAAGAAAGCCATGAAAAACTGAGATAAATCAGTCGGTGACACGGATGAGATTTAAATTCGTGTCTTGGAATTAAACTAGTCTACAGCATCATCCTTACGCCACTCTCCTCGATGCTATCAGATTAAACATTATTCTGTTGTTTGCACGAATATATCCTACGAAACACAGAAATTAATGGATGGTTTTCATAAGAAAATCCGAAATCTGCCTTGAATAGTCAATAATTATGCAGCTGGCCTAGAAATTCCCTCTTATGGAATTCAAAAGTTTTATCACTGTGATCACAAATCCCACCACCATACTCTATACTGGGCCATCTTAATCCATGTCACATCTTTACAATCAATTTATTTAACATCCATATTAGTCTTTTCGACGAATAACAAGAAAGACTGAAAATAATAAGATACTCGACTTTTATGTTCGTTCCATAGCAATTAAGCGGTGTCTCAATACTTGACTTTTATGCTCGTTCCATAGCAATTAAGCGGTGTCTCTTTTTTTTTATTTCTACATAGGCCTATCACCTTTCCATAATGTTACCTCACTTTCATTGCATAGTAACTAAATAATCTCTCTTCACTTAGATACTGCAGGTGACAGATTAATAGCGCGGCTACTGCATGCTAAATAAACAACCTTTTTTCTTGGATGTTACAGTTGTCCAAGAATCATCAGAAGGCGAGAGAAACAGAAGATGACGGCAGAGATTCCGGTGTGGGTGAACAGCCGGTTACGGTGGGTGACCGGGATCGGACGCAAAACAACTTGTGACGACGTGATCACCATTCTCCTCCGTTGTGAGGAGGATGGGAGGACGCGGTCTGAAGGAACGACGACGACTCTGCTTCAGGAAGGACACGGATTCGCTATCATGGAGCGATGGCGACGAATGGAACGTCCTTTGGACGGCCGATCGCGCATACTGCGGGTGTGGAACGCTTGGGGTGACGCTCAGAATGAAGTGCGGTTTACGCTGAAGCGAGTATCAGACTGGGAGGCGGACAGCGGAAGAGGGAGCCCGAGCAGGGACTCCTGTAGTGCCACACTGGCCAGGAGACGAAAACATCACCACCGTGGCAGCAAACTACCCTGGCCGCCGCATCATCAGACCATCCACCCCCGTCGGCTAGCCCTGCTGCAACACCATCATCACAACCAGAAGGATCTCAGCAACAAGTTACCCGAAACGATCGAGAGGCTAATGAAACTTATACTGGCTCAAGGAGAGACGATCCAGAATCAGCTGAGAAGATTACACGACAGGGACCACCAGATCGAGCACCTGGAGGGTGAGACACACCGTGCACGCGTGGAGACACTTGGCTCAAACTACTTGTTGGAGACGTACCTGAAGCTGGATCCTGATAATGCTGATGAGGACGATGAGGAAGAGAAGGGGGATGACAGTGGTGTCGTAACTGAAGGCGGTAGTGACCAGACCCCACCCCCACCCCCGGAGGCTCCATCGAGAGGACACAAATGTATGAGTAGTGTAGAACAGTCAGGTGACGGGTCTGAGCCCGCAACCGATAAAGACGAAGCGACGCTTCTAAACTTGAAGACTCGGATTGAACTGTGGGAGAAGCTAGTGAAAGTGAACAAGAGGCTAGAGAGAGAAGAAGAGTGTTTAGTGCGTCTCCATATCAAATTCAGGCGCTACAAGAACAGTCGAGTTGAAGGGTTGAGGCTGCTTCCTGACCAGGATACTGACGAGGAAAGTCTCCGGATCAGGGACGCACTTCTCAGAGACCTGGAAAAGGTCCGACTAGAGCTGGAGCAAGGTACGAGGGAACTCGAACACAATGCTGTGACCCTGGCAGAGACAGAAGCTCTTCTGGACGCCCGACGACATTACCTGAAGCGACTTCAGGCAGAATTTGAAGCGTCAGACGAGATGATGACGACACAACAGCCAGAAGCGGGCAATGCCACTGCGACTTGCAGTTCTGCAAACGATACGGACTCAAATTCTGACACAGGTCTGAGCTCCTTGCACAGTAGCAGCGAGGAGGGAGTCTATGTCCTTGATACTCTCGTATGATAACGACACGATCATAGAGTTCAGCAAGATGGTACAAGTTAGGTGTCAGATAATGTAGAAAGTACTCAAGATCTACTTTATTCACGAGCGCACAGCAGTCTCTGTACGAGTATTTCAGATGCCGCTGAGTACTTTAGTAAACAGTTGGTTTGATCAGAATAAAAGTGGTGATACCATAGAATAGTTAACGTCTTCTACGCTCGTAGCCCGTTCTAACACAGGAATATGGACATGGGATGACGTTTCTTTTTTGTATAATGTTGTCGTGTGTATTTACAGACATTGCGACGGACTGGATCCCCATCAAATGAGCGTTACTAAAGTCATAAATACACGTCGTTTCATAATTTTAAATTGTAAAAGCTGAAGAGAAAGAAACGTTAAAAATATTATAATAAGTATTAACAGAAAGATGGATCTGAAATTGCTGTATTGTTCGTCGTTAAAATGTGTGGGGTCACTTAGTTACAATAGAGAAAACTTCAGTTTTTATTTCTTGCCAAAGTGGAAGTTATCACAATTAGAAAAAAGTTTAGGACTTTCTGGACTCAAGATTTCTTTATGTATTACCGAGTTCCTGGAATTTATCCATCGTCTGGTATTCTCAAAACACAGGTTTCAAGGACCGGATCTGTCTTTCTCCTCGGGTGTAAGGAAGAAAGGCGCCTATTCTGTTGGGTCCGTTACAAGTAACTAACCTCAATCACTGGTCGAAACAATCGGTAATCGAGATTATAATACAGCGTCATCAGAACCTCTTAGAACCAACATTTCTTTATTCATGAGAATGGAATTATTGATATCTCCAAATACTGTACCATAGCCTTCAGACATTTTTAATTATACAAAAAGGACACAAGATTCATAAAGCTACCTATAAGATTTGAAAAATTAAGAGAATCTTCTCTGTGCCTGAGTCCAAATTTATGCAGCATTAACTGAATAATCTGCGTAGCATTTAAAAATTATTGGTGTAAAAGATTAATGTCCTGGCATAAACAGTTATGTATATCCGTGTAATATTACGCCAAATCAATATTTACTCATATATAAGTTTAAATAAGTAAGAAACTAAGGTCTCCATTAAATTGACTTTGTATTAATTTGAAAAATGGTAATTACGTTAATACGATCTCCTTATGAAGTGTTCATTACATGTAGACTACCTAGCTCGAGGAACTCAAAACATCACATAAAACTCGCATATCATGCAAATAAAAACAAAATGTATGTTCGAAACACCATTCTGTTAGCAAAACATCGAGTCTTTTCCAAAGACACAAAATTAAAATCCTATATTTCTCTTTTCGTAATAATTTTAAGAGACTCCCACACCCACTTACTAGCTACCTTACAACAGCCAAGCTGAGTTATTCCAAATTACTTTCAGTCGGTGAACTAATGTATGTAATTTGCAGACCCACGGTCATCAACTACTTCAGCCTACCTATTTTACGTACTTTACACACGGCAATCTGCCGTCTTAAAGCAAGAGCTCAGCAACACATTGACGTTAGTGTTTTCTTAGTGTTTATACAGTTGCAAAATACAATCCCAACAAATATCACAAGATGTTTTACTGGCGTAATACACGTTTATATTCCGAAGCATAATTCTTTATTTTATCACATATTTTCTCCGCGATGGTCAATAAATTGGACTCCATGAGTGCACGAAGAGTACACAAGCCTACTTGTGACATCCTGTAAGATTCCCAACCTTTGTCCTGTCTTTTAACTCTTTCCTTCTACGCAGCAAACAAGCCTCACGCGCATTATTATTTATGTACTATAAGAAGTCAATAAAACACTTGATTCTACTTCACTAGAATGTAAGAGGCGGTGATGAATTGCTATGACGCTACCATGACTAATCTTGTCCAGAATTCATGAAGTTGAAATGAGAGCTAAAAAATGTAGTTGATCGATTTTTATCAAGATAAGACGACGTCTCTCACCAAATTTAAATATGGGTAAGAATGTACGTACTATTTTTTCCCCCAAAGACCGAAAACACCTTTAAATTATATTCCATCGTATTTCAAAAACGAAAACATTCGCGTGCTCCTTTTACGCTAAATATTTTATTTCTAAAATGGGCTGCCATAATATCATAAACACGTTATGACCTCACGCTGGGTCCCAGGCTCGTCTTTCTGCGAGGATTTAACACGTCAACGAATTATTGGGCGGATGTACATGACCAGAAATCTTAAAAAAAAAACCTTTGCCATCGATGTACTTGAATGTTAAAACATTTCGTTTTGTTGTTTAGCCTAACCCTTCTATGCTATTCCCATATGAACATATGTAAAGTATCCCTATTATTACTTACATTAACTTATGTTTAAATATTCGATGTCATTACTTTACACAAGTCAGTTTAACAACGCACTTAAAACATTGATTTCACAACAGCTTATATCAGCCAGGTATGAATGCAACGGCCTTCTAATATTATAGTTTTCTGGGTACAAAATCTTTACGGGTGTTCGTACATGGGGAATAGGTTAGTCCCCCTGCGCCATAGCAATCCTCGTCACTGCTGAAAGCAGAATTGAAACGAGGTCTAGAATGTGAAAAAACAGAACCCATCAACAAGGGAACCTTTACGATGTTTCCATTCACATTATTTACATTTCTTCAAGTTACTGTAGCATGTGACCACAAATGGACTAACCCAAGTTAATAAAGGATTCTGATAAAACCGTACCTTGGTTCAGTTCATACTTTGGTAATATTGGGAGTGGAAGTAATTTTACCAACAAGTTTCCAGTTCTGCAGTGGTACCAAAAATATTGTTCTACCTTAATTTATAAGAGCAAATGTTGATCTTTGCTGTATGCTAGTCATATATTCACATCATTATTTAATATTAAAGAATATTCTCAAACATCTGTGTTACATTATTGTGCCTGTCCTTTTATCTCGTACTTATATTACATAAAGGTGTAGTATAGGATCAGACTACATTAGGCTTCTAGATTAGGGTAGTTTCTTGTCTGATGTGTCTCCAATTTGGATTGTTAGATTAGTGTAGTTTTTTGTCTGATGTGTCTCCAATTTGGATTGGATTTTTCACTTTGCACTGAACTGGGGTGACTGACTACTGACTGGACGACCGGGGTTTAATCCCCGACGGGGGCAGAGAACATTTCCTCTATCCTCTGCGTCCAGATCAGCTCTGGGGCACACCCAGCCTCCTCTACAATGGGTACGGGGTCCTTTCCCGGGGATAAAGCCGCCCGGGGCGTGATGCTGCACATCTAGTGCCGAGGTTAAGAATGAGTAGGAGCTACACCGTCTCTCCCCCCAAGTGCCTGCATGGCGTATAGTGGGACAGCTTTTTTTCCAGTTTACACATGTCCACTGACGTGATAAACTCAACACCGTAGTTCATAGTTATCAACCTATGGTACGCGTACCACTGGTGGTAAGCGAACTAAGTAAGAAAATCAAAAGATAATATTAACATAAATAAGTTTTCCCTGAACGCATTTGGCTACTGGTACATTTAACGTGTTAAATTAGAATTAGTGGTACGTCCAGCGAAAAAGGGTGAGAACCACTGCTGGAGTTGATTTAGGCTCGATTATCAAAATCTATTTGTTAAATCCACCGTCTCCAACCTATTCTGAATAGTATTCATTGGCTTCCAAATCTATCCGAATTCTGCGAGCTTAATTCCTTTCTGCGTCCCTACTCGAAATGTGCGTCCAGACTAATCGTGTTCGTGTTGTCCGACATGTACAGACAGGTGTAACAACATTATCGAACCCCGCGAACCCACGGCTCCAGTTGAATGCGCCGCTTAGGCTTGGAATCGTGAATCCGTCACATTTACGGAGACCGGTCGCGAGTGGTCTGGATCTAAGATTTGTATCCCAGAGGAACCTGGTTCAAGACCCGGCACTGTTGATGTCTACCCTTACTGAGGTTTCGTGGTATTCCTTAATTCCTCAGTATCAATCTGCAACTGTATATTTAAATAGGCCACCACAGTCTCCTGGCCTGCCTACTCACAATTAATGACCGTCTTCCACCTTATTTGACAACAGGCTTTTAGCTTATAGCGTCTTAGGTTGAATTATGACGCAAAATATCGCAAGATTTATCAGTAATCTGACGGGATTATTTCCCAGACTTCCTGCCAATTATGGGAATTTATAACGAACTCGCAGGCACGGGACTAGCCACTCTCAGTTCATGAACGTACTGAGGGAGACTATAGCAGCAATGAATAATCAGTTTAGAACGTCTTCGAGGAAATTAGGTATTGTCCAGAGCAAGGGACCAGAACGGAGAGACACTGCTTCTCGTGCTGCCCTTCCTCATAATCTGTAGTAAATGTGGCGTTAAACTGGAAGGGCGGGTTGTTTGCCTCAGTCTTCTTGTCTTGCAGTACATAAAGAACCCATTTCCTCACCCCCTCTAGCTTTTCCGTTACGTTTCACAGATTATGCCCAATTTGAACCATTTCCGGCCGCACATTACTTCCATGATCTGCCAAAATGTATTTACCGCCTTTTACTGTGTATGTCTTTTAATTTTCCGAATGGTCCCTGTTAGCGATTTCTGTGTCTGTTGATATCTGTCTACCTTTTCCCTAGTTCTGACCACTCGAATGTTGTGCGCATGTTTCGCAGATATAAAGTTGTTTGCAGTTTTGTTAATCACATTCACTTTTATGTAGTTTGAAGGTACAACATATTTCTGGATAAGTATTAGGGAGCATTAAATCAAATTATTTTGTTTTGTTAAATACCATGTCCAAGAAATGTCTTCGATTTCATGTAGAAACTGCTTTTCAGAAAACAAGTTAAATCTCAGTTTCATACGAAACGGGGATCATCTGAGTCACAGTTAAATTAAACATTCGTTTGGCCTTAAAAACTCGATTGTCATCTAATGCTTTCACTAACTCCGGATATTTAATATGCAGACTGCCGATGAGCAGACATAACCTCCATTCTGCGTTTATGTTCAACGTGGCAACAGCGCACAAAGTGCATCCCCACGTGTATCATCATAAAACGTTTTGCGGTAGGCATATACAGATTTACAAATCTACTACTGCAAAATAAACCACTAACCTGTGAACTAGAAGGTGTTGACGTAATGTCTGACGTACCTTCTTGCCATCACTAATTATAATACAACACACATTAACACCAGAATACTAGAACAATTACACACAACCTCGCTCTTGAAACTCACGCCACAGAAAGACCGAATTACTCATCGCTCTCAAGGTCGGTATAGAGGGCGTTGTCGCAGTGTGCATTAGGGAAGTCAACTGTTTTTACGTAATTTTAAACTGCTGCAGTAATATTTTTGTTTGTAAAAGAGGTTTCTTAAACAAGTGATGTGAATATATAACACTTTTACATTTGAAAATATATATATCTAATGATAAAAGTGACTGTAATGAAGTAACAAGGATTAATTTTTCTCACACTTTAGTTTTTGATTTCATTTTTATTTCTCGTTTTGGCATTCCAGTCTCGAATTCGGTCCTACAATCATCCCTACTCATTTAAGCCTCTCTGATATTGCAAGCCCTTGGGGAATTATTACAAAAAATTATCTTCAGTATTCCATTTCCTAAATTCACTTAAAGGCTTCATGTTATGAATGTGGATGTTATGTAGGAATACCCACAGATGGCGTTAGCATCCACAGCATGAATATAGATGCCTGGTAAATTAGTTTCACTTTTTTGTCTTGGAATCCAATTACTTCAACCATCTTGACACAGTATCTGTGTAACAATAAATTAATACTGTGAGATAGAAAATACAATAAACGCTGATGCACAAAGTTTAAATGCCAAAATAATTTTTTTTACGTAGTATGCATCGAAGAGATTCAATTAATAAGCTATTTATATAAAATATATATAAGATATGGGACACGGTGGTAAATCTTCATGCTTTTTCAACTTCGCACTCTGGGCTGCTTTACATCCATGAAAAGAGCATCCAGTCCTCATTGAACAGAAAGCTGGGTGGACCTCAGAAGATGTCGGAACAAAGTAACGTGCTCAATTTAGATAACATCCGATTCAAACACAAATCAAGATATGATTAGATCATGCTTAACGAGACAGTATAAATGCAAAGGGAAAACACCGTCTAAACGTTCAGAAAGACCTTGAAAGCATATTATATTGTTCAGATAATAAATAGTTTTTTTTCAGGTTGTTCACAATCCGAGAGAGATACAAATCATTGGTAAATTGTAAGGTCGAACCAAATATACTAAAAAAAAGGCATAGTAGCCTATAGTTAAATTGTTTATGATTATATTTTTTTTATTTTACACAAATCGATGATTCGATCTGGACTCGGAGATTATAATTTGCAGATCAGTTTACATTTAATTCACAACTGCAAATAAAGTTTGGTTATCTTAATTTTTTATTTATTAGAAGACAGAAAGTTGTGATACCTAATTTTGATTATGAGATCAGCCGAGAAGTTAGTGCCGCAGAACAGGCGACCTTGGGTTATTTAAATAGACCAAAGATTACATTAGGCAGGGACATTCTTGATGTTTTCAAGTGTTCCACCTATTCATGACCGTGAATAATTCTTCCACTTCGTACAGGCAATTCTTCGTCCAAGAGAACGCGGTAGTCTTCCTTTCCCTCCGACTCTCTGGTCAGGTACGGTGTGTAGTCCCTGACGTCTGCAGGAATCTCTGCAACTCATCGACACAGTCGTTAGTATTTTAATCCGAGATTCAGAACACGACAGTCAGCGTTCTGGCAACCAAGATTTGGAACATTTAACCAACATTCCAAATATGACAGTTATTACGCACAAGCATAAAGTAATGCTTATGTTTTATTTTAATTTAATGAAATTATGGTTAAAATCCTTGCGACCGACGAAATCAGGGAAGAGATTCCAAGATTTGAGGATATTTGGGAAATACAGGGGAAAATGTTACGAGGGAAGAGACAAATTTACCTTTGACTGTAACTATTGCCCAGGGAATATCAATGTTGCCCTCTCTGCGTTTTCCCAGTCTGGGTCCGAACCACATACCAGTAGATGTCTTGCCAGCATCACCATTGATATTCTTCTCTAAACCGCCCACCTTGTTTCCATCCACATTGAAGGCATCTGTCGCAATCACAAGCAGCAAACCATAGGAACAGTAAAAATTACTTTATTTTACAGATAGAAGAATGTTGCTAAGAATTTCGGTTATGGTTCACGAAATATGAGAAATTTATTGACTAGTTTAAATCATTAACAGCTTCTCAAAAGGACTCTACTCCATGGAGTCAGTCAACTATTTATTGAAAGTCTGCACTAAACTTTGTTAAACAAACTCACTTATGATTTATAACCATTAGTTTATAAGACGCACGATTCGAACTTCATAAACAAATCTACATGACAGATCTCATTACAACTTTTATTTTAAATATAAACAGACTCTTTAATCTAATGAAAGAAAAGAAAATCTGACTATGAAGTGAGATCTGATTTGCACCAATTGATTCGTTTATAAAGTAATTTAACATCAAGGCAAAACATTTATACAAAATAGTAGGTAATGAATGTGTGAAATACGTGTATTCCATCGTAGTACATTTATAAATATGAGTTTCCGTGTGGCTGCCAGTATTTATTAAAATAAACGCAACACTCACAAGCACAACACTTGCTAACACTAACCTGTTAATGGCCAAAAGACATCTGACCTTCCCACCCTCGGCATAGGAATAAGACCGGACGATCCGCGTTTGTCCTTCAGATACGGATCCGTGCGCACTCCTACAACACAAAACTTATATTTAATAAGAAAAAATACTTTTATTTAAAACATGTCTACTAAACTTTTAGAATGCTCTCTAAACCTTAGTTGACAAAAATTAACTAGCAACATTACTGAGAACTTTCGGACCTCTGAAACCACATAGATCACGTGCATAATCTTACACATGACGCTGTGAAAGTCACAGTTCTGTGGTTACCTTTCACATTGTATATTCAGGAATCTCCTTCGTGCGTACTTAATTTGGCACTATATTATAAGATTCATTTTAATAAAATCTCCTTCGTGCGTACTTAATTTAGCACTATATTATAAGATTCATTTTAATATTGTCCTTTGATTTCTCCAAAATGGTTTCAAACCAAAATGTTAGGTATGTAAATCAATTCTGCACATATTACAATCAAATACCAGTAGTACACAGATTAATTTTGTCATGCATAATGTAACTTTGTAATCATAACTCAGCGTTCACTTCACCTCCGTCCTTAGGAACTGACCTGGTGCTAGCCCTAAGAATCCGCGTCCCACTCTCGGCATGGAGATAAGGCCAGATGAACTTCTCCTGTTTATAAGGCTAGAGGGAACAGTATCACCTAAAAACAAAAGTTTTCTTAATACACAAACAAGGCACATAGAATGATAAATAACTCAAGAAACTATTAATTCTTTTATACTGTATACGGAATGCCACCACAAACCCACAGTTTTATAATTTGTACACTGTATTGTTGTTCTCGCTGTTACAAGGCCTGCACAAATTTCCTTTAATTTACATGTATACAAAATACACAAAAACTGGGGGACCAGAATTAGAAATGGAAATGACATGTATGTACATTTATTTATCTTTGCTGAAGTTCAATCTACGTGATAGAATCACAATTACATATTGTAAATTTGTAAATTTAGCATTATAATATATACTGATGATGTTCTTTTGGGTTTTCGTGCCATGTGGACCGAGCGATAGACATTTTGGAGAAGTGTACGTCTCCATCTTCAGAATTGAATGATAAATTATTAAGAAATATCTATGGAGTAATGTGATAGGAAAAATAATTATTTATTAAAAGTTGTTTATTCTCTTATACATCAGGTTTGCATGCCTGTTCTTCATAATTTCTGCCCAGTTAAGAAAATATATTTTTATTTTTGTTTTTAATGTTGTGTCAAACTCTCTGCCTAATCTTCCCACAATATTCCCTCTCCTTCAGATTTCAAGACTAAATTTTGTACACTTTATTCATCTCTACGTCAGTGCTACATGTCCCGCCAATCTCTTATTCCTTAATTTGGCCTCCCTAACAGTTGCTAAACAGTGGTCACACACATGAAAATCATTGTTAGAGAGAACAACAAGTGAAAATTTTGTTGACTGGAAAGGCAAGTGGGAATAGACTTTTGTACCCCACTGTAGTCAATCCGGTCGTTACATTGCATAAGTTGTACACTACAACATTTAACTTAATTGTTCATTACGTATCCACATAAAACAAGCAGAGGCAAGACCCAAGCACATGAACACGGATTTCATAAACCGACTTATGCTGGATATGTCCATATCGGGGCATGTCTTCGGTATTTTATATAAAACATCATTAACGTACATGTAATTTTCTCATGATAACGAATCAAATAACGGTGAAATAAGATCATAAAGATATCTCACGGACCACTCAGAACCCTACAATGAAAACGTCAATGAGTACTTCAAAACTGACCTTGTCGTTGAAGAGTCCACGCCAGGTCCGAGCGGCCGACCCGTGGCATGGGTATAAGACCAGAAGACCCTCTTTCTGCATCAGTGTTCGTCGAAACACTGTCAGACTCTTCTAAAACAAGAGAAACAACAAACTCTGCTGTGTATTAGTTGTAAACGCCTTTAGAATGACGGGTGACTGGTTTGTATACTCTATCTCCCAAACACAAACAGCTCAACAGTCCCATTCAACAACACTTATTATCCCTTTAAAATTGCCTGTGTTACAGTTTGTCTACCTTAATTTCGAATACTATAAATGTTGTTTCGAATTTAGAGGACAGAGTACTGTATCTTACTGCGTTTAAAGTGATTTCAGCCGTGTTCAGGAGACTTTCAGAAAATATTAGTCATGTAAATTTCTTGCGAATTGCATATGGCGACAAGACAAGAACGTATGCCGCAGAGAAGACTAAGTAAGGTTCTGCAGACCGGTTTGGGAAGTTCGTCCACCTCTGCTAGTCGTATATACTAATAATGGATACAAATATTCTAGCTCTTCAGTAAATAATTCAAACAAGAGTGTTAAGATGAAATGGAGTGTAGTTTGAAATAAGTAAATTGCGATGTGTTACAACTCATTGGCGTTTATCTTAGTTTGTTGCGACAAACATATCTGGAAACCCGAAAATACTACGGAGATACATTCCATAGAAATAATACATCTCTTTAATCTAATCTCGTTGAATAACACCACATAGAAAAATGTTTAAAATAAAACATATCTTAATGATATGTATATTTGTGTTATAGTTTAGTTGCCTGCGAGATGGACCATTTTCTATTAATTGTAAGTGTCTGTTTAAACTTCTCCCTGATGATGGAGGCAGCAAGCAGGTCTGAAATGTCTGTGAACTTCTACCAGACCACAAGGCACAACAACTTAGATGGCATTCATCTTCATCTTCATTTAAGAACGTTTTACATTAAACAGACAAAGTCAAAATTACGTTTGCCACATATTTTATTTTAGACTGCAAACACGAAATTTCGTTTAAATCTGTCGAGTTCTCCTTGATATGAAACTTCGGAACAGACAGACACAAAATCGTTATCATGCATTAATTTGTGCATTGCGCAAAGAACTCTCGTACGTACCATCACACTGGACAGACGAAACAAGTAGAAGGACGTGAATCATCGCACAGGAAAACAAAATCTGTTTCATCTTCTGCTGCCTTCGTCTTTGTCCTGTAAACTGTAAGTTCTTCGGTCTCCGGGGACGCACCTTGAAGCAGAGCCAGGACTTGGGACAGGCACAATCTTTTATACCGTTTTCAGCAGCAGGGGCTTCAGCACCCCGACGGACTTGCGTCGTATCAGTAATAATGCCACTCCCTCCTATCTTTTTTTATTTTGCAATTACCTGTTGCACGACGATGTTTTTGTAACAACCGTCCACCCCTTCCCCCCCTTCCAACCCTTAATTCTTACACACGTCTTCATTGCCCCTGTGTTCAGTCTCCAAATTAAATTTGTTAACCCTTCCCTAAGGCAAGTAGCTGGAACAAGTCATCAGAGTGGAAATACAGTGTGGGCACCCCCCCCCCCCGCACAACAGATTGCTAATCTTCCAGTGACACAGGTTCAGTGGCGAACTATGCGTAGGTCTGTACCAATGTTTATTAAATTAAAAATGACTGTCTTATTTTGGATGTTGCGCCATGTGACCGGATAGTGATTGGCCGACGTTTCTGAGGTGTTTGCTGCCACCATCATCAGGGCAATAAATAGACAGCAAGCACCTCTGAAACGTCAGTAAATATTTGCCAGACTACACGGCGCAATATAAAATCTCATCTGCATTAAATTAGTCTTCTAATATTTAACGTTCAAGGACAGCTTCTGTTCCGATTTGGAATTAGTTCTGAAAACAATAGTTCAGGGACTCTGCAGGACGCCCTGTATGGGGGATCGGACCACCGCTATACCCCCCACACTTACACACGATACAACACAGAGCAGCGCGGGCATATATCTGCACCTCGAGATTTATCACTGCTGTATTTTATGGCAATTCTATTTAAAAGAAATTATATGAAGAAAATTAACATTACATTAAATATTGGAGAACTGTTAATAATTTCATGCAATTTGTAATCTTCTGTTTCAGGCCTATTAGTCTCTCACATTAAGAGAATGCAGACCATGGTTGTTTGAGAACAGGGTGCTGAAGATATATGGACCTAACACAGAGGAAGAAAACTGCACAGTGAAGAAATTTATAATTGTCCTAGAATAATTAAATAGGGACAAGTTGGGCGGAGCATGTAGCACGGATGACAACGATGATAAGTGCATACAAGATCTTGATCGAAAAAAATAATTAGTGTTAAGAGATGGTACGACATTTTTTAAAATTCAATTTTGATTTCTCTTTTACGTAAATAAAATTTTGGCCCAGACTGTACCGTTACAGTTCAAAATTAACTAGACAAAGTAACTCGTAGTCCTCAAACACATAATCAACTCGCAGTTATTCCGACAGTGAACCGTGTTCTTGTGTCCTAATCATTGTTGTTTGTGATACAGGAGAAAATTAAATTAAATGAATTTCAGAGTGACATAAAAAAACTGGTGCATAATGTTTAACGAAATAAAAGAAATACAACTCACAGAGATTAGCATTTTGCGCATAACGACAAGAACAGCGATTCTTGACTGCGGGTAGGCGGACCGTGCAAAACATCCCAGGCTTAACTCAATTTTGAGCTTTATACAGTAAACCCAGCTTTATTTCGAATTCTGTGTAAGAAGTGCTACCCTTCGTCATTCCAAACATCGACTCTTTCATAGGCCCAAACAGATGGAAATAGCCGACAGCGAAGGACATTAAAACAATGTCTAAGACCATTTACTCAGGAATTTGTTGCAAGCTACAGGTCTGTCGATACGAAAGATATCTACATTTGTGACAATAGGTCGTGAAGGACCATTTCAGACATCATCAATATCGAACTTCTGACCGACTCAGAAATACACAGACACCCTGAACGATAACACGCATATCCTTGATCACTGCTGATGCCCGCCAATGGACTTAAAACCTGAAAAATGCCGTCATCAAAGAAAGTCACAGCACAATAATATATTACTACGCATTTGAATATTATGCCTTGTGCTTGAGAAGGTAACAATGAAAATAATGTGATGTCAACAGATGTGCCAGGTCTCGTGTGTCATTCCAAGTCCTGCGAGCTACCGTTTTCGCTCCTAGTAGTTTACAGTACTCTCCCAGAGCGACTGATCAACTTCTGCAAGACAAATATTCCCCATCTACACTATACGTAACATGGCGGGATTTTGTGCTGAAAGGAATGGAGGATCGGGTTCGATAACAGGGAAATTCTTCTGTAAAAGTTGGCTGCTATTCAGGTTGTAGGTTATCATGCCATTCCATGGTACCTGTTCATGACTCATAACCACACAAAACATTGCAGATACTATCTCCCAAGTTTTCAATGATTACTGCGTTAGCATGACAACAATGGCTTACTTATATTATCGGGATATGTTTCTAGCACAAAGGCCAGCGTTTCAAACAAAATAAACAGATTGTCGTAGGCGTGCTTGTTTCTTGTCACAAGCACAGAATTATAAATAGATCAAACACACAGCCTACACGCAGGTGGAAGTCTATTGTAAATAAATCTAACAATTAAAGATAACGTGGAGAATTTAACTTAATCCAGTGTTCGGAGACATAAGGCACACACATCCTAAATATTAACTGTGATGAAGTAAGTCCTGCCCCCTCATACACACCACCTACAGCGGCTGTTACAGTAAATCTGTCTTTACGTAATGAAAATCACGTACGGAATTACACGTAGGCAGACCGTTCCGGAAAATTAACGCATGCGCTGATTGGAATACGCCGCCATAATTCTTCAGTAAATTCAGCTAAAGTTTAAAAATAAAAGTCTCCATTAAACGACTGTCTCCTCCTCCCACGCCCATGTAAGTTAATTACCGCCTCAAATCGTTACTGCATTACTGAAAGTAGTACACCGATACATAAACGTAAGATTGAATATAATTTAATTATAGAATGTAACAGCGTCTTCTAATACCTCTTTCTTGCATATGAGACCACTCTAATAGATCAGTAGTCGCCACCACTTGTCAGCCAGCATTGTCAGGAATAAAGTTAGAAATCAACTGATGATTGAATAATGTCCTCAGAGCTGGTGTTTTCAGATACTGAGGAATACACAAGCAAGCCTGCACAAATACCGGGTGCAGGTCGTCATGGCGCCTAGAATTTTCCGCATATTAAGTACATATCATACGTTATACAGAGTGGAGCATCCATGTTAACAGCGTTTGACCAGCCAACATTTTTAAAAAAAGAAAAAGAAATATTCAATGTCAACTCAAGTACACATTCAGGCTATGCCACTGCAAGCACCATGTTAGTCAAACGATAAACTCTGGCATTTTTAAAAATTCATTTTAATTCCTAATCCAGGAACACATACCAACTATCACACATGCTAAAGTACAAGCCCCTGTTTTATGAAAGTCATTCATTAAGAGAAAATACGTCATACAAAAATTAAGTCTCCATTCTTTGAAGGCAACATCAGCAAAATCATACATATACACTGGGATACTGAGAACAACCCGTTCTTCAAGTGCCTGAGCACTGCGGGTCCCAACTTTTCGTTGGCTTGATCTATAGACATTCGATAGGACTCCTTGGACGAGGGATCGGCCCGTCGCAAGGCCTCACCTGTACACAGGACAGCATGACACAGAAAAACGCGGACAAACATCCATGGCTTGAGTGGGATTCAAACTCACGGTCCCAGCGACCAAGCGGCACAAGGCCCATGTCTCAGACCCTACATACATATATACAAATATAGAAACAAAATATACAGTATTCATACATAATATAATATATAGTTTAGAATCGTGTAGTATTTTCCACGTCTTTATTAAAACATGAATTGATTAAAACTTGAAATTAGAACAACTAATTAAAATAAACATACAGAATAAAAACAAACTACTTTCTGGGCAATATTAACGTACTCCGTGGGACCCAATCGATAGAGCCAGTCCCTATCTCCGGACCGGAGCAGGTAATACCTGAAGATGGAGATAGATTCCAATCTCTGAAATGCCGTGCCTCATTAAGTCTGGAATGACAGATAACGTCCAGAAAATAGTTTGCTTCGACGACTCAACATCGTCAAAAACCTTCAGAATTAAGATACAGTATAAAAGATAAACAATGAACAAATAACTGAAGTTACAACAAATGATGCGGGGAAGGACAGGAGGGAAATTTTTCTATACCTTTTCTTTCTTTTTTTCAAAAAGAAATAGTACATGTGAACATAAATGCATAAATGAACAAACATATATTTACTTGGCCGCTCAACAAACGAGATACCCACACATTTTACCAAGAAGAACTGTTGCTCGAAGTGTCGCCATTCGTCTCAGCTGTTCTGGAATAAAAGAACTTTGACAGGGTTAATCCGACACACTCAGCCTCTCATCAAGCGTCAATACTTCCACGAAACCCTACGTACCTTCCGTAAACCACACTCACCACTTCAGCAATTAAGTCGACCACATATAGAAGTACGTGTCTTGCCACTGCGGGATGTACTGCGCTATGGGGTTGCATAAAACGCGGGCCAGAGGCACGTTTGCCGACATGTCGCGAAGTACGGCCTGAAGGCGATCGCTGCTGTGCCGCTCGTAAAATGGGGAACGTAACAGGTAGAGCAAGAGAGAGATGGTGCGGCGAGACAGTTCCAGACGTTGCTTACGGCTCATATGTCGCTCTTTATGTTTGGTCCCATACAACTGCAAGCTACAGAACATAAAACAAAAGTTATGTCATGTTTCTTCACACATCTGTTCAAAATACAATATAATGTAAGATTTGAGGTTTTCACAGCGGTGAGTAGGAAGATTTCTGTCTTCTGGGTTGTTGCGCTGTGTAGTCTGGTCGATATTAACCAACGTTTCAGAGGTCATACAATCACCCTGATGATGGAGGCAGTAAGACCTCTGAAACGTTGGTTACATCGACCAGACTACACAGCGCAACAACCCAGAAGACAGAAATCTTCATACAATATAATATTTTAAAATGGCTGTACACCCCACTTAATGGTACTCGGACCTTATCGTGGTGGTGTGGCTTGAGTACCTCAGTGACCCCAAGAGCTATGCTGGCGGTAGCATAGCTACTGGTAGGGCCTCCCTAGCCAGATTGGTCAAGGGGGAGAGGTCAGACTAAGACAGGTACCCTAGTCCTCCAGGTTGGGGATTGGTCTCAGGGCTAACAACCTTGCACCGTAAAAAGAAAGATGTTTCGAAACCTCTATCAAAACCTCAGACAGACGGACCGAATGGAAGAGGAGAATTGAGGAGGCCATGGACCGAATATGGACCGGAGAGCCATACAAGAAACACTTTCACAAAGAGCCATACAAATGATGTGTGTGTCACCTAAAACTTGTTTCTAATCAGTGTGTACATACATTTCCAAGTTCTTCAATCACCACAGTTTTCATAAAATTCTTAAATTTATTGATTGCCACGTAGCAACATGTATATTTCTTATTCACTCATCCTACCTGGCGAGGTCCGCAGAGAGAGCCAGCAGCCACGGCTTCCAATCCTTCTGCCCAAACAGCATCATAGAACAGAGATGTGCGACGGGTTTGACAACATACAGAACCTGAAAACATAATTCATCACAATTCTAGACCAAACTGCGGTTGTATTCTTACGTCTACAAATGGTTTTAAATTCTAAACAAAATGACAAGTGATGTGACAACACACCTCAGCTATTAGCATCTTGCCAGAAAGAGTTTGGTCAGGAACACCATCTTCTTCGGCATTATTATTGGGTGGTAGGAGGGGTCGCCATGTTCGACAGCTTGTCGGAGGAGCTGTAACGGGACAGTAATGTTTGTGGCTTCTCGGACACGAGTCTTTCATTGCAACACTCCAAAGATCTTACATGAGTAAACAATAAATCAAAAAACTGATTGTTCAGTTTTCATGTATTAAAACCAGGTATAAAAAAACACACAGATTTTTCAAGTCATTTCATGATTTCACTTCGAAAAACAAATCAGTATGCAACATCCTAGATTATTTCTATTAAAAATTCAGTTAATTAAAATGTTTAAAGTTGGGTCTAAAGTTCGAACCAAATCTAATTTTATTTTATTTTAGGAATACAAACATTCAAACATCCCCCATGCGTTTACCTGCAGTCACACGCCTGACAATTCTGCCAGAGCGTTTCAAGGTGAAAGCTGCGGACTGAAGTCGGATCCGAGACTCCTCTACATGCGAATCCTCACGCGCCTTCTTCCGTCGTAATGGTGGCATAGAGGGGCTTTGAATAATATTATCCTTGTGATAAAATAGGAGCAATAATCGACCTGCACACCTAAACATAATGAAACACCAACTTGGTAAGTGAAGATAAAGTTTTTAAAAACTAACTAACTAAATGGCTTACCGAACACAAAGGTTCATCACCGAATTAACCAAAGCCCTCCACCGGACCAACAAAATCCAGTCTCCTTCAACTCCTATCTCCCACAGATCCTGCCTGATATTATCCTCCCATCTAGGTCATTATGTAGTTTTCTCCATGCCCCATCGTGTTCTCTCCTAGGCCCAAATATCCTCCTCAACACCCTATTCTCAAACACCTGCAATCTGTGTTCCTCCATCAGAGTGAGAGACCATGTTTCACACCCATACAAAACAACAGGCAAAACTATTGTTTTGTATACTTTAATTTTCAGGTTCTTAGAAATCAGACGGAAGACAAAATATTTTGAACCAAGAAGTAGCAAGCATTTCCGGAATTTAGTCTCCTCCTAACTTCTTCATGAGTATCATTTTGATCTGTTATCGTTGTTTCCAAATATTTGAACTTTGTCACACTTTCAAAGGATTTATTAACTAAGCACAATAACAAGCAGATGTATGATAGAGCGGAGGCATAGCCCCATGCATTAGCTTCAGAACTAGATGAAAGTGAATGGTTATCTTCATGTCGCAGCACTTCGTCCCTGACAAAATAACCCTGATACCCATGAAATACGTACCCCAGGGCTCGTCTGGATGTTGTGGCACAAAGAAAAATCATGCCCTGCTACCGATGCAACCCCACTTGTCCAGCCTGCAGCCTAGTCAGAAAACTTCAGAATATTTGCGAACATGAACTCTGGTTTTACCATAATTTTGATTCAAATAGTCGTAAATTCAGTATAATTAATAGACAATAGACTATTTCCAACAGACGTGTTATGACCTTGGACACAACCACTTTTCTCTAAAAAATATCTACCAGACTGTATGAGTAAAATAATCCCACACCGAAGTACCACTTTTGTGGTCACCGTGCTTGCCCATTTCGGACTATGAGGATATTTATTTTTTAACCCACTAACTCCCACTACGCAACATAATTTATTGGTAATTGTTCCGTAAAATGCAAAATCACATGGGGGGAGTCCCTGCAAGTTCTATATTTGGCTTTCAATTTGATGGTGATGATGGAGCACTGCAAACGGAAGTGACATGAATATATTGCACAAACACGCCTACTAATTCAACTGTCATCACATCTGAAATAGGTTAACACTACTCAACAAACACTGTGACAGGGTGAAACATATAAAGTTATTCCCAGTAAATGTAACAGCCAGAATCCACGCTAGTCAATTACGTAAAGAAATGTCCCACTAAATTGTATAATTATTCATGTACATTCCTTGCTAGACTAAAGAATTTTAAGTAAAGCAAGCATAATTAATTATTCCCTTAATGTCTTGTTTTTACATGGCATAAATTTGTTCGTTACACTATAATTATATTCTTGCAAACATAGAAGAATGGACAATCCTGTTTGCTCCATCACTCATTATGTTACCCTACCATTTCCTGCCACAACTGTACAAACACCATTAAAAAAAGGCATTAACAGCAAACCTAAAGTTGGGTATGCCCCAGAACTAGTCTGGGCATAGTGGGAAATGTTACTTACTTGAAAATTTGTAGAACAATCACAATCAGCCATTTTCCTTTCTCACCCCACATCCTTCTAGCAGACACTTCAATAAATACTTCTGAGTAGTCAATTACAGTGAGCCAAGTCTTAAGTTTCTCTCCAGAACCCACTGCCTGCAGTCTCCTGGCATTATGAATGATACGATCATTGAAGAGGACGAGGAGGTTCGACAGACAGTACACCAGTTCTGACAGGACATTAGATGTGTTGATCCTCCCTATGAAAAGAAAGAAAAGTACACTTAACTCAATAATAATGAACAATTTCATTATGTTTGTGAATAACTTAAATTCATTACATGTAGAGTCCCGATGTTTGATAAGTCACAGGTAGAAAATATACTTCTTGTATAGAAGTTAGCTGAACGTTGTCTAGAAATGTGACTTACAAACGTATTTAAGGTTTAAGATGGTGGTACTTTGACAAAGTCATAAAAATTATTACTGCAATTTCCTCTGAAATGTATCAAATTCTAAGGGCAACCCAAAGTTCCAGAAAAAGAGAATCGACAAAGGTAATAACAATCATTAACACACACTATTTTAACACAGAATAACCCTCTGATGACTCAGTACAGAAGAATGTACTCATAATTCATTAGTAAACGAAACATAACCTCAAAGTCACTCTGAGAAAAAACTGACGACTCATAAAGACAAACTAACCTGCAATGAAATATGATAACCATTTGACAGTAGATTCAAAATCTCCCGCCACTTGAGGGTTCTGGCTCACCCAATTCCTGTATGACGAATAAAGTTCTGGTAACTTAAGAAGTATCGACGACATTGTCCAACATAAAATTGCGAATGGTGAGTTACACTACAATTAGGACTTCACAACCATGAGACAGCAACTTGGACAAACCGGTTATCTCGATATTTGAAAGCCTGCAAAACAAATATTTCAATACATATCGCCTTTTCACAAGTTTAGCAAATACCTGTGTTACCACCAAACTTTAAATATTGATAATCCGTGACAACCGATCCCATCACGCCATACATCGACCTTCATATCAGTACTGCCAACACATATAATCTCCTTTCTTCCAAGGTCATTAATAATTTACATTTTAATTATTTAGTTGGTGATTTGGAAGTGACAATATCGTTTGAGGGCAGACTGTCTGATTTTTGAAGAAGGGGAGTGTTTACGTACCGAAATTTTTAAAACATTTGTTGTTTACTGTCGTTAACTCTAGTATACGTCACAAGATGGCTGACACAAGTGCAATAGATCGATAACTAGCAATGTTACCACACTAATCTCAGTGCACTGAACTCCAGGAGCTTCTGGCATTGGCCACTAGGGTATGCATTAGTAGTTTGCAATACAAGGGCTTTTGCAAGTGCGCCGAGAACCAAAACAAACCTTTCAAGGTCGCATTACAACCAGATGATCTGAAGTCAGCCGCAAAGCGTTCTGTTCTGCGTGTCTGATGTGAAGCCAGCCGCAAAGCGTTCTGTTCTGCGTGTTAAAAACCAAGTACACAGAAGACTATTCGACTACAGCTGGTCATCAAAGGAGAAATGACTTCTCCTACACAAGTGGTGAGTTATCACGGAGGCGCCTCCTTTGTTTCCTTGTCCTTAGCGTTAATATGATTACGTCTGTGAAACTTTCTCACCTCTTCATTCACATTTTGTTCTTTATAATTGATATTTTACGTTCATGCAAGACATTTAAATGTTGATAGTGCCAACATCATTATTTTAAGCGGAAATCAATGGCTTTGACGAATTTTCCGTACGTAAGAAATTATTAATATTATTGGTTGGGCGATCTTTAAATAGCTCCTTTGTATTTATGCCGATGAGTTGCTTTGTACGATCTAAACAAAATTTTCATTGCACTTATCGATCTCTTGCGTTACTACACGTATGCACGTGTCTCTTAGATTTCCGCATAAGAATAGTAATTCGCAAGAACGATTTGTTTAATATTTCGGTTTATTCTGAAAAAGAGCCCATGTTTACAGCATAATATGATCATTGTAATGTAAGAATTAATGTAGCCAGATTTATGAAGACGAAACGCAACAAATTCTATAAAAAAAATAGATAAGAGAGATGATGTGAGGCCTGATTTATGTGTGTAGAAAATTATAGGGGCCCGTGTTTGACAAAAGAAGAGAGCAAAATTTTTAATTGAAGTTCGGGTTATAATTCAAAATCAATTTTATCGGGGAAAAAATTGAAAAAATATTCGGAGGGCTTCCCACAGTACGTCGCGGAGTAATGGTTAGCACTCCTGCGTCATATTCAAGGAAGTCCCGAATTCGAATCTCGACCTGGAGATTAACCACCCCATCTTAAATGGTATGTGGGTTTCCTCAGTCCCTCCAGGCAAATTTATCTTCATTCGCCAGTGCACTACTAACTTACAAATTCGTGTAGCTAATTTATTGGAGCAATTTTATATATTTAATATTGTGGCTCGGGCCCCTTCATCAGACAAAAAATTAAACTGGTTTCACAGAGTATGATACATATATATATATATATATAGAGTCACTAGTGTCACTTAACATTTAAAAATCATTTAACTTCCAATAACAATGCAGGACTTAAGACACGAAGATATTTTGATGTCTTGCAGTTTTACGTATTAACTCCACACACAGACGAAATTAATGGTTATCATGAGTGTGGATTTTGACGTAATCAGTCGATTACTTATCAAAAATTCTGCATTCGTCAGATAGCCTACCGGAGAAAACAATTGGAATACAGTGGGACATTACATCATCCGTTTATAGACTTCAAGAAAGAGTATTATTCAATTACATTCCTGCGTGTTAACAGATCACGTTATTGACGCAAGCCTGTTAAGACATGTTACGTGTTTCGTTGTTAATGTCACACAATGTGATAGGTCTTTGCGTGGAGGCCCGAAGCTCGTCTAAATAATATTTACAAGTACAGTTTGCTACTGTTGCACACGAAAATAATCGCTGTTTCCTCTGAGAATCATGCAAACTAATAAATACTTTTCGCTGGCACGATGAAGAGCTACTGATTTTGGCTACACGCATAGTTAAAAGGTCACTGACACTGGACGATAAGGATGGTATCACCAGAGCCCTCAGCAGAAGAATGTGTGTGATACGACACTCGAATCATGGCCATCCTTCATAGACACGAGAAATTTACGCAGTCCCTAGTCATCTTTTGTACGGACTTTGGTGCAGACGTTGACTGTGCTAGGCAGTTATCACAGTTTTCGGTCTGATTGTATCATCTGCTATGGGAGAGACGTGGATTAATGTTGTGAGTATATGCCTATTCCTTATTCAACAATAAGTACTACTTGAAACTGAGGAAAAGTAAATGATTTCTATGTAAATAATCTGTTGTTTCCTACAAGTTCTGGCTGCTCATGTGGTCATCTTCAGTTTTAGTTGAGTAAAATTTTACATTAAAATCAACAAAGTACCTGCTAAATTAAATAGCAAATCCGAGAGACGATGCAGTCTTGATATCCATATTGGATTGTCACTTCTTTTCGTGTGAGCGTATTTTATACATCCTGTCACTAATATTATGAACTCAGCAAACTGCTTTTTTGAATAAGCAAACACTGTGCCTAATATCAACAACTGACAATTTTTATATTTTTATGTAACAGTTTGTAAATATCTGTCTTTCTTCTTCTCATTTTCGGTTAGACTATAAATTAGTCTCACACATATTTTTGAGTATTGTATGCAGACATGTCTATTGGAACTTCTGGAAGGCTCTTAAAACAGCTAGTTTTGGCCTTATGTTTATCGTGACACAGCTTGAAACGCCAATTTAAACACTCTATTAGACTTTCCAAAGCTGGGTTTTTTTTTCTCGAACGTTTAATAAACTAACTAAATATTTTCGTCCTGAACAATTTCGTTATAGCATTTACCAATCATACTCAATCAGATTCATTTTTTTCATTATCAGATGCTGCAATAACAAAGTGATTCTTAATTTTTGCAATGAAAATATATATTTTTCAAAATGTAAACTGGTTTTATCCAAACCCAGTCCATTCTAACAATAAATATATTTTTCAAAATGTAAATTGGTTGTATCCAAACCCAGTCCATTCTAACAATAAAACCACTATGAACTGAAATCGAAAACATCTAGCACGCAGAGAAAACATCATCCCCCCCTCCCACGGAAAATAAAAATCAACAACCAAACGTTTGCCGGCAAGGAAATTGTTAACGGCAGATACAGAGATAAAGAATGAAAAATTGAGGTTTTATTTGAGCACACAGATCATTTTATGAATACACAGGGCTAAATTTCGAAAGTCAACGTGAATATTTTTCCGATTCAGACGTACCCCGCTGCAACATTGTGCTAAATGTAAGATGGCTGTGGCAACAGCGCACGAACGGGTGATGATAATGAGAATGAAAATGATATGATTATCAGCGACAATTGCTGATTCATTGTAAGGTAATTATGTTGGCCACTGTCCGTTATCTGAGTTGTATCACAAATACGCGGCGTGGCTACGTCGATAGTGTTAGAGGACAGGACACAAGATTAGTATCCAGAGGGACCTTTCGTCGATTTCGGCAATTAACACTAATGTAGAAACGAATCGAGATTTGGAAAGTGGATTCGTTGTATTTTCGACATACATACATAGATGAATTATTCACTCGTATTTCATTAAGTACCGTGTAATAGTGAAAATTAAAATGAAGTACGCATTTTATATCATGTCCTATTGATATTTGAACGACGATTCTGTGTTTTGATAAAATCGATATCGTTTGATTTTAACTTACGTAAAGAAGGGGGCTATATAATGGAGAATTCGAAATAAATTCAGATTCGGCTGACAACTTTTTATGTAGACCACAAAACATCAAATGTGATCTAAAATCATTAATTTCGGATGTATAATATGTGGACGGATTTTCAGGTCGTCCCCTAAGCGCGTCCACTTCGTAAAAAAACAATACCTTCGTCCAACTTAAAATTGTAATGCAATAATTAAAGTGCTATGTGATTTCGAAATAAAACTTTGTGTTAGTACGTAGTATATGCGTGACACAAAATGGGCGGTCACTGATAAAGTTTAAAAGAAATGCACAGTATCTATTATTTTTCCTTAATCTAAGGCCCATGCTATGAAAGACGGGTTGTAACATGACAATTTCTAATACGGTATATTTCTACTGAAGAGTCTTAAGAAAATATGTTAAACATGGGTTTTTCCTAGCTATTTTTCTAGGTATCATTTTGTAAGTAATTCGCACAAATTACGTACAATAAACGCTTTATGGAGAGACCTTGTCTGTTTGTCCTTCGTCACTTTCATCTGTTAGCTATTGACTGGGTTCCGATTGTATCGCATTTCGGGCCTACGCTTAAAGGTTGGAAGAATGTAATTTTAGTCAATTTTATTCATTAAAAATCTGTACATATGTAAGACAAAATCTCATTAAGACCTACAACTTCGATGTCCATTCACTGTCAGGTTGTGCTGTTTATTAGCTTTATGTTTCTACATGCCTAATTGAATGTCAGCGTTAATTAAGGATGTGCCGTTGCAAAGAGTGCATCTGGAAAGCTATGTAGGTCAACTCCAAAGGACATAACCTTGTTCACAATTGTCTCTGTCGTTGCCGAGTTGCCTTAAATTTGCTGCATTTGCAAAGCAAGAGTCTGCAAACTGAGGCACATGAAGTACATATGGTCTTGACGTTGTTATGTAACTTTTAGACATGCGAGGCCAGATTGTTATTCGTGCCTGCTTCCGAGAATGAATATTGCTATTTGTAGAATTATATACACGCCACGACTGCCCACGGTCTCTCCGGGCTACGTTATGTTTGAACACCACGAAACTGGTGAATAGACTGTTGCTAGTACACAGAACAAGACAGCCCCGAAGAGGCTTCACAATTTGTACTCCTCGCCCAATATTGTGGGCGATTAAGTCAAGGATCAGATTGACGGGACATTTATCACACATGTAGAACACGAGAGATGCATACAGAATTTTGGTCCGAAAATCCCATGGAAGGAAAGCGAACAAGCAAATATTTCTGAGGAGGTGATACTGGCGTGTTCTAAGGTACTGTCCCGGGATTCGCCTAGAGGGAACCAAAGAAAATCCTGAGCCAGACTCGAACCAAGTACTCATATAAAATGAGTCTATACACTGCAGATAATAAAATGGATCTTGGAGAACTACGGCCTCTAATGTGAGATTCAGTATGACTCTGGATAGTGTACAAGGCGGGCTTTTGTGTAGACGGAAGTGAACCTTCGAGCCCCATAAATGCAGAGAATTTCTTGACCAGTGAATAACTCAGCTGCAAATTCACGAGGAGTGTTTTTGGCCTCCTAAACGCTTGTGACAATGGTGACACTTCGATTATGCCAGACATCTTCCATTGTCTGGGATGTAGTTGATAATATACGTACGTAAGTCGGTACACGACGTTTTTGAGTTTGCGGTAGTCGGACTCAAACCCGGTGCCTTGCGAATTCTAATCCTGTATGGCAACGGAGTGGAAACGCGGTCACAAATCCTATAAAAACAGCTGAAGCCTGTCATTTTCCGTTTCAGAAGATTTAACAAAATTGTTCTTTTGCACGTAACACCGAAAGTCTTAGTTAACGCGTCGCACACCTTGGATTCTTAGCGAATTTACAGACCTCATTGGCTTCGACAGTAATTTACTGAACACACAACTCCACCGTCACAGCGCAAACTACATCACGGGCTCCAAACTGCACAGTCATATATTCACTTTCCCTCTGTTTCGTTAGATGTTTACCATGTCGAAACATACTTCAAATATTTGCGATACGACGTCCTCCCAGCGGTGAAGATGTTGATGTTGGTCTTCTAGGTCGTAACGCGCGTGTCGACTTGCAGGTAGATACCTCGTCTTCCGAAACGTTGGTATCTACCTACAAGAGGATCTTCGAAAATCTGCTAAGTTATTGGATGTCAATGGTTTCGTGTACCACGAGATAACTGAACTTTAATTCAGTGTGCAGTGCCGTCGAAAAGGCTGAGGAACATTGCAGTTGCGTATCTGCTATTGTTCTCGCACAGTTTGTGGATTTGTGAGCGAAGGGGGGACTATAGTCCAACCAAAGCGCTCGTGCGTAATAGATAATACGTCATTCAATCGAGGTGAACCTGAGGATCAATGACACACAATTTCACATGGGTTACCGACTCTAAAACTCGATGCATTGGAAACGAAAATAGTTTCACCCAGTAACAAAAAGCCGTCTTGCAGTTCCGAAAAGCACTGTCGAATTCTTTACACTCCCACTTTGTATTCAGGAGGTACCAGGTTAAATTCTACACCCCAAAGCCTGTTATCTTCATTGAGGGTTCTGATTTCTCTAAGTCCCTCCAGAAGAATATCGGGAAAAGTGCGTTAAAATAGGCCACGCCATTTCCAATTCATCATTCACATGTCGTCCTCTTAATCCAAAGCAATGTACTTAAAACTCTAAAACCGAAGTTGATCTAAATAAGTATACAGTTCTTACCTCAAAGAAAACAACGCGTGCCCGATATAAAGATCATTTGGTTTGTGTTGTTTTATAAAATAATCGCTGTTTATTCTCAAAAACCATAAACACACTCTACGCTCTGTGGACAAAACGCAAAATCAGTGTTTGTTAAAGGAGGCGGTGCGTGTAGTTGTCACCGGGATTTAAATTGTGACGGAAATTCAGAAGAAACAAACGCGAACGGATATTAGAAAATGTTATTGCCTTGTTTATCTGATTAGAAGGGCAAGCCAAGGGTAACAGACAGTACATAATATGATCGGCTATCGTCAGTACAGTATTGAAGGTTGGTTGTAACTATGCTGAAACTTGTTCCATATGTTTACTGTTCAGAAACGCGCCTGAGGAAGATACTAGACTCAGATAAATATGTCTGGCGCCATTGATTAAAGCCAATTAAAAATAAGGCTAATGACGATCCCACTGTATAACAGGAAAAATAAAGATGGAAAGATATTTTCAAAGTGTCGCAATGATACTAATATTTTTTATCAAATATACTGACCTAACTATGAATGTTTTCTTTCATTTCGTAACATCGACCCTACAGCTGCACCGTACCGAAGAAAGAATTTTGATTTCATCGGGGAAAAAAAACTGCATAATGAGGAGTTTCATAAATTGTAATCTTCATGAAATATAATTAAGGTGATCGGATCAGGGAGGGTGGGCGCACACAAAATTCTAATCAGAAAGCTTGAAGAAAAAAGATAATTTGGAAAATACAG